TCCTGTTTTGTTTGAGGTGAGGCGCTTCGAATCCTTCCTGCGGAGTCGGCGCGAGGTGGGTCCACAGGGGCTTTCGGGATTAGTCTTTTAGGGTTGAGCGTCAGGCCATCTTTGTTTTCTATTTAGTTTCCGAGCTTAAGGCAGGATGTGAACCTGTGGTTCAGAATTCGGAAGCGGACAGCCTGCAGGTATTCGCAGCTTTGTGTTTGCTAAGCGTCTGAGCTCGCTGGGAGAACGGCAGCATCATTGGACTTGGAAACAGAAACATGGCATGATCTGCAGAACCTCAAGCCGCCCTTTGGCCCACTGATACAGTAAGATGGAACGCGACTGTAAATCCAAACTGACAGGTATCAATACGGCTAGCATGTGACAGTAGCCACACCAACAGAGAACACACCTTCAACGACAACTTCGAATGAGAAGGAAGACGCGACAATCACCCGGCGATCGTTTTATCATGTCATACTGCAAAGTCAAGAGGGCTGCTCACATGACGATGGCATAGCAGTGAGTTCCGTTCCAAGAGCGGCAATTAATACCTGCGGGATGCTGCGGTAACTCATGTCAAGCCCAGGGCCTCAAGCGATGATGTGTGAGGCTATCGAGTACGAAGAAGGGACTGCGATGCTCCGCGAAATCGAAAAGGAGGAGAAGAGGCTCATAAAGCCTAAAAGCTTGACACGTCGAGAGCAAGCGCCCAAAAGCTCCCGTCAGAGTTTCGGGGCTCGGCTTTGACCGCCTGTGGGAACGGGATTGACTCTCCTGAGGGCACTCACACTGGGCTCGTTTGGTTTACATGCTGTTTCTTTGCCAACTGGAGTTTCTCCAAGTGTAGAGTTCACGGCGTTTTCGCACCGCTTCATCTACGACATGCTCCCTTTGAGAAGTCTTGCCGGAACAGGCGTGGACCAGACGGATGCCCGAATGTGTAGACCGCGTGTCAGCGCAAAACATTTTAAGACCCCCAACCGCTTCAACTTCCACGTCTAAGGGTGCATCCAGAGCTTGTGCTGGGCACTGGTCGAGATATTTCGAGTATGTCAAAAGCCCCTCTCCCCCAGGCTCCGAAGCAGACGGCCCGAACAGCCTGGTCTAGACTTAGGATTCCTGGACTGTCTGAAAACCCGGCAGCGAAAAGCCCAGCCTGCAAAGCACCGCGCGTGAGGCGGGCCTTGGCGAGAGCAGGACTGCAGGGAGAAAAAGGCCAAGGGACAGTTCCAGCTTTCAGGTTGGACGGTTTGATGAGGATCATCCTGAGAAGGCCTCCTGGTTTGTCATGTCTCATTGAGATAAGTTCTCTGCATTTCCGGGGCCTCTTCTTTGTGATCGAGCCCCCTTCTAGTTGGGATCCATGGGCCACAGGATGGGAGGTTCATGATGCAGGACACGTCGCTGGCGGCCCCGCCAATCTTGGGCTTTGGGATTCAGAGCTGTAATTAGGTTGAAAGCTTGGCCGCCTAAACCGACCCAAGCCCAACCCTAAATCAGGAGACAAGAAAGAAGATGCGGAGCTCCAGCTTGTTTGAGGCAGGTTTGAGGGTTATAGTTTAGGGCACAAGGTTCAGGATTCAGGGTTAAAGCGTTTTTGGGTTAGGCTTTGAGGCTTGTTGGTGCTTGAGTTGGATCCTTTCCGAAGCGCAGATGCGGCCTTGGCAGATTGTTGTACATGTCAAGAGTCGGTGTTGCGTCAGGACCACCCAAACTCCTAAGAAGCCATCACCCGGGGTTCTTTTACTTGAGTCCTTAGCAGCCTGAACCCTGAAGAACGAGCCGTAAAGCCGGTATGTTGGATGAGGTGGCTGCAGCTACGAGTACATCGGTCAAGAACTAAGAGGGCTCCACGTTTCTACAAGCAAAGAAGACTACATTGGTTCATTGGATGTGCTGGGTTGCTCAAAAGATCAACCGTCCGAAGAAGCCGGACAAGGTCTACAAAACTGTTTAGGGTTTAGGGGTTTAGGGTTTAATTAGGAGAGTCCTGGATGCAAAAAGGGTTTAATTAGGGCATGGCAACCCCAATCTTCCTTCAGTCGTGTCCTTCGACCCTGAGCCACAAGTCGCTTGATACTCGGCATCTTTGGGTTTCTTCGACACATTGCAGCCGATCTCCAATAAGCGCTGCGGGAGAACAGCGAAAGCTCTTTTTCCGTCCTGATAAAAAACCCCCAAGCCCCACTTTCAACTCTCCGGAATTCTGGTGTCTTTGAGGGCTGCGCTGTTTGGATCGGTGTTGATAGATAGAGGACAGTGAAGTTGTAGGAATTTCCGATTACCTGCTTAGCAATTCTTGAGTGCTTTGAGGCCAAGGCGGTTTTTTGCCGAAGGAGCTCGTCGTTTTGAAAGCGAAAGTGGCAAATCAAACCCAGTCCCGTGCGAAAGGCGATGCGCTTCAGCTCCTGCAGTTTGCGGTTCGGGCGATGCGTCTCGCCTTTTGTGGTTTTCGGTTAAGTTTTGCTGTCGATGCTATCAGCAGCATGCTGTATACGTAGTGGTATGCTACAAGTATCTTCAGACCACCTGTCGTACATGCTGTTTTGCGGTGGTAAGAAGTTTCCAAACGCGGTCCCCACCAGCAGGTTCGGTGTCTCCAAGTTTTCTTCCTATAGGGTCTTGCACAAGCTGTAGTAGCAGCAATAGTCGTAAAGCAAGCGCAGCTGCAGTAGCAGTAGTAGGAGCAGGAGCAGGAGCAACAGTGTTGGAGCGCAGCACCAGTAGGTTCACCAAATTCTGTCAATAACTGGTGAAGAATAGTACATAACGTAGCAGGGCAGCGCCACACCACCCGCGTGATGGCGCAAAGTTTGTTGCCGCTTGCACAAGGCAAGCTTGCCTGCACTTCCTGGCTTCCTGCTGTTGAGTCGACCTGAAATGGAGCCTAGACATGCCTCAGATGGTCTTCAAAATCCGTGCATGCTAAATTTTGTTGATCAGGCTTGGAGCATCACATCCCCACACTGGCCCCCCTTCCAGCTTTCTACTAGTTTCATTGACCGTGATGCTGCCCTGCGTACAGGGCTTAGAGAAGCTTCTACAGCTTACAGGGCACACGAGCCCTGCGCGATACCTTGGAGCAGGAGGCGCATGCAGCTGAGCCCGTGGAACAAGTTAACGCACACAACCTGCTTGCCCGTCTCATTGCAAAAGGGTTGCAGTACGTACAGGTGCATTCACACAAGGAAACAGTCGAAGGATTGCTTCGTCGCGTGTTGCACTGCCGCTTGTCGTAATTAGCAGAATCAGAAGGATAGCCAACTGGTCGCAGTAGCAGTAGCAGTACAAGAAGTTCCAGCAGTCGACTACATTGTTGTCACCATTGTGCTGCATAGCGGCAGTCGTCGTCACGTCGTCCGCAGTCGTTGTTCTCGTCGTCAGGGGTAGCACGTTACAGTCGTCCCCATCTCAATAGCGTACGATCGGGCAAGCAGCCGCATGGCTTGAGAAAGACCTCAGCAGAAGTTTCACCGCCGGAGGGAGGAGACGCACAAAATACGGAATTCTGCACGATTCAATGACTCCAGAAGAGAGGAGACTCGGTCTCTGCCCCCATCTCTGCAACCCGAATTACCCATCGCGTGGCCGTTCGCCCCAAGTCTGCTTGAAGAAGCCCTCAAGGCTACTCAAAGACCTCACGTCCCGCTTTTTATTGCCATCGTTGCCCAGTCTTCTTCGTGCAAACTGCCTCGTGCACTCGTGCTTCATCAACAGGTGTTGAGCCCGTTTAACATGGCCCAAGCCTATGCTTATTTCTATGAAGCTCCCAGGAGGTGTTGGCACTGGAGTCCCTGGGCACTGGCATCCAATCGCTAAGCTTACACCGAGGGTGGTAAGCTTCTTAAGCCTGAAAGATTCAAAGGTAACAGAACGCACAACCAGATAAAACGGACCAGTAATCTCGAACCTCCAAACCAAAGCAGGTGGACATGTCGCTGGCGGAGTTTGTCGTAGGCACCCGGACGATGACCATGTCTTTAACATGCACTTTCAGGGAGGCGATAGACGTGTCCGGGCAAGAAGTAACTAAGCCCGAATTCTTTCAGCCACTTACAAGCACAACAACGACGCCAACAACCGCAACCATGACGACAGCAATAGCAACGGCAACCGGAATCGCAATGCTGGTCACCAGGTCAAGTCAAGTAGTATTTGGGAGTTCCTGTCGATCAGGGTTACCTTATTTTTATGGTCCCGCTATGCGGAGCAACACGAACATGAGCGCCACTGAGGCTACTGAGTTGCAAACACTCTTCCATGACCGTTCGGTCTGATAGTTTCCTTGTATGCTCACTTAACCTTGCTTCGTGACTCGCTTCGCTCAGCCCTGCAAGAGGCAAAATGCCTGTGCGACAAATTTAAGATCATGAAGTGGTCAGTGTTGTTCAGGCTTGTTTGTGTATTGACAAGGGGTGCTATGAGTGGTGCCTCTGTTCGTGCTATTTGAAGGGTTGCCCACCCTTCACCTAGCGAGAGCGATTGCAACAAGCACAACCTAAACTGCTCGTTTGAAACACCATTTCCGCAAGGCTCCGAAAGCAGCGGACTGCTGCAATTCGGGAGCCGCTGCCGAGGCATGTGATGGGCTTGCTTTCAGTGCGAAGTCCTGTTACCATCACTTTTGCAAATGCATGTGGAAGTATTCCTCGGTGTCGCTTCCCCCTGCTGGCACGTGTGGCAGGTTTTAGCCGGGGTCATTGGTGGCATTGTGCGCAGAGACAGGCCTCAGCGCATGATGTCCCAAGCGGACCTCAGAAGTCTGGGACACAGGTGTCATCAGCACGTGTGCGACATTGCTACATGCCCTTGGAAAGAGCGGAATGCCACAGTTTCGGTTCGGAGTGGACAGCTTCAGCACGTCTGGCAGCCCTGCCGTATCTGCCATGTTGTCATTGCTTGTGGCTTGCAGTTTGACCCTTGTGTGTGGCCGGTGCCAGGAGGCCTCCCAATGCGGCCTGGATAATCAAGCCTTCCTTCAGCTCCGCGAAAGCCCGGGCTCGGCCTCGATGGAGAAAGACATCCGAATCCCGGCCATTTGCCCATCGCGGTTGTGTCCAGATGAGAAGGTGGAGGACCACACCTCTGCCAACCTGACGGTCCTCTTCGCGTTCCACTGCCCGGAAGAAGGGCTCAAGAAGTTACATCAGGACCTGATGGAGATCTCGGATCCCCGGCACGAGCGTTACGGCAAGTGGCTTAGCAAGCAGGAGGCAGACAGCCTGTGCGACCCGGACAAGACCGTCGTGGAGTCATGGCTCCGCGACCACAACTTGACACCGGAGGAGTCGTGGCCCCGACACCTTCGAGTCAAACTCTCGTCAGCCCAGGCCGAGAAGCTCTTCAAGACGAGCATCCACCGATACAGACGAGGCAGCCGGACGGTGGTGCAGGCCGAAGACTACTTCCTCCCCCGCAAGGTGAACGAGGTCATCTCGGCCGTCTATGGCTTGAACGACTTGCCCCTTCGGGACACAGCTTCCCCTCCTGCACCGCCCACTTGTCAAGTTCAGGATGCACTGCCTTTGGTGCAGTGGATGATGCAGCTTCTGCAGAATTTTCCAGTCGAAGTGCAGCAGACCCTCTGTTCCTGTGTCAAGGAAGTTCTTTCGCTGTGGGAACAGCTGAGCCCGGGCGACCGGATCGCGGTGTCGAATCTTGCGGATGCATGGAAGCAGCTACAGTGGCTGAGGTCTCACTTTTCGGTTCCAGAGAGTGGTCAGCTTGATTACTGCATAAAGCAGTTTGCTGCTCTCGCGGTGGCTCTGAAGAATGGGCTTGACGTCCAAACGCAATGGGTCGACAACCAAGTGATCGGTGGCATTCCAAACCAACCGGCGCCCTTTACGGGCATGAATGTCCCGAAGCCGAGGTTCCTGGCCGGCCCGGACGTCATCAAGCAGATGTATCAGGTGCCTACAGGAAACGCACCGGTGCATGGAACGAACGCCACACAGTCCGTTTTTGTCCAGAGCGACAATGTCACACACAAGTACTCGATTCCGCTGACCCACTGGTACCAAAACTTCTATGGCCAACAAGCCACAGCGGTCAGTGTCTACGGGGTTAGTTTTGATAATACAACATCGCCGAACCTGGCTTCCAACGAGCCAAACCTCGACCTCCAAATGATGGTCGGAGTTGGGCCAAACATCCCAACCTATGCGCACGGAGTCCTTCAATCTCCAGGGCAGCCACCGCCCCTCAAAACGTACTTCTCCGATCTGCTCAAAATGGAAGACCCACCACTAGTGAACTCAGTGAGTTATGGCTTGAGTCCACTTCAGCGCTCAGTTGATCACGTGCAGATCACGGACTCAGAAACGGACTTGGCGTGCCTTGCAGCGAGAGGCATTACCGTGGTTGCGGCCTCGGGTGATTCTGGTGCAGGATATGGTTGGTTGCCGGCGCAAGGGAACGACAGTTTCCATGCAAACAGCAACATCACAGGCGAGTATTTCTTCAGTATTCCTCTTAAAGACAAGGAAACATGCAATTGGTATTGTACCCTCACTCGGTACGAGAATATGTGGAAAATGCCAACCAATGTCTGTGGAGCCTGGTTGTTCGAGGAGACTACTGGGACGTGCACCATGTTCAGCTTGGGCATGCCGTTTGAGCGGACAACAGGTGACGGAGTTATCGGAGGCCCAGAGATTGTCGATGGACCGATGGTGCCAATGTGGCCAGCTTCGAGTCCATACGTGACTTCCGTGGGCTCTACGGCACCATGGCGTAATGGTGAGTTTCTGAACCAGTGGAAGCCAGAAAGGGCAACGAACTGGTTTGGCAGTGGCGGAGGCTTCATGTGTCCGCCCTCCGGGGACCCCGGGTCAGAAATAGCTTTCAGTCATGCCATAAAGGACCAGCGGGCAGCGGTGGAGAACTACCAGAACGGCTCCAGGGATGTCAAGCCATCTCCCAGCGACAAATGCCAACACGGACGGGGTTTTCCGGATGTGGCCGCGTTGGGCCAGAACGTTGCCGTGGCTTCCCGAAAAGATGGGAAGTTCCGCTGCTGCGATGCCATGCAGGGCACGTCGGCCTCAGCTCCCATCTTTGCCGCGATCATCTCGCACCTCAACGTGGAGCGCTTGGCCCGAGGGATGCCGCCCATGGGCTTCATCAACCCATGGTTGTGCCTGCGGCCACATATGGCTAGAACCGTGCAGTTTAATCGCGTGGTGGAGGGTCAACCGATAGTGCGGTAAGACCTGCCGGGTTCTTTGAGGTGCAGACGGGTTTACAGCAGCTAAGGTACCAGAACTCCGATGTCTTCGATGATGTGACAGAGGGTGCGAACAACATCGGTCACACCTTCGGCTACGGTCCAAAGGAGAAGTATGGCTACAGCACGGCCCAGGGCTGGGACCCCGTGACCGGCCTGGGCACGCCAAACTACCCGAAGATGCTACAACGCAGCTCGGCTTGCAGCAAGCTTGTGCGTTGACCCTCGTCGGATCCTTGCTTGTAGCTGACAGGGGCGTGGCAGAACGTTGGCCTCTAGTTCCAGTGGCCTCATCGTGCAGAGTTTTGGAGACTACTGTTGGCACATGCCTACCTAGGGTTTAAGACGCTCAACCCAATCCCACAACCCACATTGTGCAGACAATTGCAGACTTTCAGCCGGAGTTGGGTTCATGTTAAGTTGGGGGAAATAGTCCACCAGTCTGATGGACATAGGTTGTGTCCAGACTTGCATGGCAACACGGGAAACTTCTTGGTCTGAGAGGCTTTCCTATGGAAATTGCAGGTGGGTAGTTAGAAGGGATAGAAGGGGATGGGGCTGCAGGAGGCCCATAGCAGCCATAGCATTCTTATGAGGGTATGCGGTTGGCAACTCTAGACATCGGAGCATGACAAAAGGTTGCTAGGAGAAGGATTGCCGAAGGCGGAGTCATCCATACGACGAGGCATCCCTAGCTTCTGAGGGCGGGCTGTCCTATGTAAATCACATACTTCTGCTAGCGCTCGAAATCATGGTTACGGAATAGCTTCAAATCATCAAACTTGTAACATCGTACAACATCTTTCCACAGCTCCGGCATCCTTGGAACTTCACTCGGGGCCCAATCAGATCCACTCCCGTTGAAATCTGCAAACCCCAAACAAACAGCAACAGCCAGAAATCGCGCAAGTGGAGCCTGACTCTCTCTATGTCTTTGGCCATCGGGATGTTGATGTTCCGAATCTCCGGCGCCGAATCTCCGGCTTGGTGCTGCATTTGTTTCGTCATGACCTTATAGTTGTCATCCAGTCCCCCGTCCTTACACTCGAACCCTCACAGAGCACCTGCCACAGTGTCAATGTGCTGTTTGCTGAGGTGCGATCGGCTCGACCCCGAAGCCAACTGCACCTTGACCAAAATCAGATTCTAGGTGCCGCAAAGAATCAAGCGGTGCAGCGGTTCTTGTTGAATTGAACCTGATCACAAGGAATCGTCTTGCAGCAAGCCAGTGTGAGTGCCAACAAAATTTGACCGCTCAGAACTCATTCCCCACATTTTCTCGCTCCTCCAATTGACATCCCATGATTCCAGATTGCAGTGAAGCCCCTTGAATCTACACTTTGCATGAATGAAGCAAAAACTGCCCGGACTGCCGAATATTTATGCAGAGAACAGTCCGTCGCCGATTGCATGAATCTCGCCGTTTTCTTTCAGAAACCCTAAACCCATATTGCCTTGCGGCGTGGTCTTATGACTTGTGATGGTTGGTTGGTGGGTGGGTGCGACCTGCTGTAGCCTGAGAAAAGACCCGCTACAAAACTGCGAAGCTTTGACTGCCGTGCACGAGCGTCAGTCTGAGAGTCAAAACATTGCCGAAACCCATTGCCAAGCATCGTAGGTGGTCACGACCACCACCGCTCCACCACCGCCCGATCATAAGAGGAGCTGCTCGCAGACTCGCCGTGTAGCGCATGGCATTTCTCTCACTGTGGCTTGAGGGGACTTGCAACCGAATAATGGGAAACTAGGGGATAAGAAGATGGAATATGGCCTGCTCTATAGATGTGTAAACGTGAATAATAAAATATGTGTATTTGTATGCATATATGCATGTGTGCATATATATATATATATATATATATACATATATATATATATATATATGTACATACACACACACCTACACACACGTACATAAATATATATATAAATATATATATATATATATATATATACATACATATACACTTATTTTTTGTTGTGTATGTTTATATATCCACACATTGCTTAGGCTTGCGTGCGGGTTTTGTAGGGCCTGTAAGGAATCGGGGTAGACGGGCTGTCGGGATTGCTGCAGAAATCCACTCGCCCATCCCTTCGAAGGTCTTGCACCTGCCCGAATACCCCAAACAAGCTTTCCACCTATAGGTAGTAGCTGCTGCTTACCCTCAGCCCCACGCGCCTACAGTAGGCCTTACACCAAGCCTGGAGGACTGGTCCTTGTGCGGCCTGGTGCGAATTTGAGATCCCTTTTGCCATGCAGTGGACGCCGGAGTGCAAGGGCTGCCCCCGATGCAATGGCCGCCTGTGCGACGACTAGTGTGGCTGGGATGTCAAGGGGCCGAACTCTTCTGCACCCCAAGTTTGACGATATCAAAATATCACAGTTTCCACATTCCACGGTCTGGTCCACGAGTAGATGGGAAAAAGAACATGGAGAAGCCAGCCCCGGCAGAAGCGTAAAGCTCTCGACGATGTTTAGAAGGTTTGGCCAGGTCCCAATGTGGGACGGGCAAGATGAGTTCACATGTAGCGGGAGTTTTTGAGTGTAGTTAGCCTGGAAGCAGTGCCATGTTGTTCTTAACCCCGAAGTAAAAAGGCTTGAACTCTTTCAGATAGCAACAGTGACAGGAATCACACGTCTTTAGTCGCGGAGTACTGCTGCCGAAACGGAAGTCCAAAGTCAGATTACTACACCAGTCCTGCACTTGCATGACGCGAGGAGCACGGGCCGAATCTTCCAATCCACAGTCCGTCCTTTAGCGGAAGTTGAAGGGCCGCAGGGGACCATTGCAGACCCCACCGGTGGTCATACATTACCTTATCCCTGAGGCTCACGGGAGGCGGCCCTTCAACTTCTTTTGGGGACTTGCCGTTTCAGAGCTTGGCCAGATGCAAAGCGCGAATCTTGAGCTTAGAACCCAGCCGAAGAAGAGACCATGAATGCGCAGAAAGCTTGACTGGGTGCGACAGTACGTCTTGTGAAGTTTGCGACGCAAGATGCCGCCGGAGGCCTTCGCCGGTTCAGGGGCGTGGCCGGTCCTCGATGACCAGGCAGGATTAAAGACTCAAGGCTTCGGTCGTGAGGTCGGCATGTCAACGGTTGCTTGTATGCGGGACTCGCATCCTACCGCTCGCGCGGGCTATGCGATGCGTTCTTCAGGGACCTAGCTTTTTACACCGCGTCTGGCGAGTTTTTCAGGCTTGCATCTTGACTGGTTGCTTTTTGTTTTGTGCTTCTGCTGTGTGGCCCTCAAGCCGTTGTTAGTGTCACTCATTTGCTACCAAGTACAAAGCGGGGCGGACGCTGGCTTCCCAGCTTCTGACACCGTCCCGGGCATACCGCTTTGCGCATGACATGCGCTGCAATCTATAATGTTACCCAAGCTTCGGTCAAACGGTGACTTGGGCTGTCTGCTTGTAAGATGCTCGGGTGGATCAAGCCAACAAGCACGTTTTGAAAGACAGGCGACTTCTGACACGAATGTGCATGGGGTCGACTGGCTTGTTAAGGCTTCTCCCCGACCCCATCTCCCTTCTCCCTCTCGACCGAAGACCTTCAATGTCGCAAGCCCAATGTTTCAGGCCGCGTTGATTCTCTTTTTCATGCACACTGCCCAGTGCACCAATGCTTCATCGGCAATTGTCGTGCACGATCACCGCGGAACAAGCCATCGCTCAGCAGAATCAAGCCTCCAGAAATCGTTGCTGATGTAGTCCTTCAGCACCGGCGCAAAATCGTAAGCGGTAGCTTTCACCGCAAGCTTCCAGGCCCTAGGCCTCAACCACTTTGATGACATTTCGGCAGGCCAGAAGTCTCGAACTCTCCCAGTGAGAGCAGATTCATTTATCGTCGACGGAGTTTGCCATAGGCACCTGTGCCCCAGCGGTCGGGAGGAGGGGGGTGGGTCCGGTGGGGGATCCTTGTACCACTTCGGCACCGATGTCCACCCTAGAAAATCAGAGAATAGACTTGCAGGGCTCTGTCGAAGGCACAAGTGATTTGTCGATTTCTCATGTACTTGTAATGAAAATTAAGGGGCGCCCGCCCATTCATAAGAAATGTGGGGGGGAGGAAGACCTTGTAGAGGTATCAGGGTCATAGACTGGTTGTTGCTCCATGAACATGAGCGCCAAGAACCACTCTTCTATGACCTTTCGACAAGTTTGAGAACACTAAGTCGTCAATGTATGTCGATGTTGTTCCCGCTTGTTTGTGTATTGACAAGGGTAGCTATGTGTGCTGCTTCTGTTCGTGCTGTTTGAAGGGTTGCCCATTCCTCACCCAGCGAGAGCAGCAAGCTTTGGGTCAAAATCCAAGCCTTGTCTGAAACACCACTTCCGCAAGGCTCCGAAGGCAGAGGCATGCAATTCCCCGACCGGTGGAATTCGGGAGCCGCTGCCCAAGCCATGTGATGGGCTTGCTTGTGAAACCTGCTACCATCACTTTGGTATACGAACATGGAATCATTTCTCGGTGTTGTTTCCCTCTCCTGGCACATCTGGCAAGTTTTGCCCGGGATCATGGGCAGCATTGTGCACAGAGACAGGCCTCAGCACATGATCTTTCGAGCTGGCCTCAGAAGTCTGGCATGTGCACTGCACAGGTGTTATCAGCAGATGTGATACATTGCTAGACGCCCTTTGAAAGAGCAGAGTGCCGCAGTTGACAGGTTCAGCATCCGTCGCAGCCCTGCCGTAGCTGCCATGTGGTCATTGCTTGTGCTTTGCAGTTTGACCCGAGCGTACGGCCAGTGCCAGGAGACCTCCCAATGCGGCCTGGACAATCAGGCCTTCCTTCAGCTCCGCGAAAGCCCGGGCTCGGCCTCGACGGAGAAAGACATCCGAATCCCGGCCATTTGCCCATCGCGGTTGTGTCCAGATGAGAAGGTGGAGGACCACACCTCTGCCAACCTGACGGTCCTCTTCGCGTTCCACTGCCCGGAAGAAGGGCCCAAGAAGTTACATCAGGACCTGATGGAAATCTCGGATCCCCAGCACGAGCGCTACGGCAAGTGGCTTAGCAAGCAGGAGGCAGACAGCCTGTGCGACCCGGACAAGACCGTCGTGGAGTCATGGCTCCGCGACCACAACTTGACACCGGAGGAGTCGTGGCCCCGACACCTTCGGGTCAAACTCTCGTCAGCCCAGGCCGAGAAGCTCTTCAAGACGAGCATCCACCGTTACAAGCGGGGCGACCGGACAGTGGTGCAGGCCGAAGACTACTTCCTCCCCCACAAGGTGAACGAAGTCATCTCCGCCATCTATGGCTTGAGCGACTTGCCACTGCGCGAGGCATCTTCGCCTCCTCCAGCTCCACCAGCTCCTCCGGCTCGTCCAGCTCAAGCTTCGGAGTCCCCGGATATCGTGCAGCAGCTACAGGAGCTTTTCGCCGTCTTTCCGATTCCGGAACGCATTCAAAATGCAACTGCTGGCTGTTTGAAGTTCATTTCGGGGCTGCTTACTACTCTCAAGGGAGATGTCAAGAATGGGGTAGCCGTCCAACAGCAGTGGGTCGACGGCAGAGTTCTCGGTGGCATACCAAACCAGCCAACGTTCGACCAGGCTTTCCTAGCCGGCCCCGATGTCGTCAAGCAGATGTATCAGGTACCCAAAAGCACCGCACCGGTGCATGGAACCGAAGCCAACCAGTCAGTTTTGGTTATCAGCAAGGATACTGGTATCGGCACCAACATGTACTCGACTCTGCTGGCCCAGTGGTACCAAGATTTCTATGGCCAGCAAGCCACAAATGTCCAGGTCCTTGGGAAAAGTTTTGATGATATGGAGTCGCCGGACATGGATGTCACGGAGGCGAACGTCGACATTCAGTTGATGGTCGGAGTTGGGCCAAACATCCCGACCTACGCGTACGGAGTCCTAGACTCAGGCGGCGCACTTGCATTCAAAGAGTACTTCTCTAAGCTTGCCCACATGGAAAACTCACCACTGGTGATTTCAGTGAGTCATGCATTACAACCAATTCCATTTGATGAAAAAAATAAAGGGTACCAGCAAATCTTGAACATGGAGACGGACCTGGCGCTTGTTGCAGCGAGAGGTCGCACGGTGGTTGTAGCCTCAGGTGACGACGGCGCAGGGTATGGTTATTTGCCTGCGGAAGGGCCGGACAGTTTCTATGCAAACAGCAACATCACAGGCGAGTACTTTTTCACAGTTCCTGCTGATTCCGTAGAAGATTGCAAAGTTGTCTGTGGCTTAACCCACCGAAACACGCCCCGTTACAATGTCTGTGGAGCTTGGTTGTTCGAGGAAGCAGCTGGGACTTGCACCATGTTCAACATGGGCATGCCCTATGAGAAGACAAAGGGTAGCGGATTTGTTGGAGGCCCAGAGATTGTCGCTGGACCGATGGGACCAACCTGGCCACCTATGAGTCCATGGGTGACTTCCGTGGGCTCTACGGCACCGTGGCGTAATGGCGAGTTTCTGAACCAATGGATGCCAGAAAGGGCAACCAACCACTTTGGCAGTGGAGGGGGCTTCATGTGTCCGTACCCCACGGAGAAAGGGTTAGAAATATTCAAAAAAGCCACAATGGACCAGCGGGCAGCGGTGGAGAACTACCAGAAAGGTTCCAATCATGTCAAGCCATCCCCCAGCGACAAATGCCAGAAAGGAAGGGGTTTTCCGGATGTGGCCTCATTGGGCACGAACCTTGCTGCGGCTACCCGAAAAGCTGGCAAGTTCCGCTGCTGTAACCCCGTATCGGGCACGTCAGCCTCAGCTCCCATCTTTGCTGCGATCATTTCGCACCTCAACGTGGAGCGCTTGGCCCGAGGGATGCCGCCCATGGGCTTCATCAACCAATGGTTGTGCCTGGGGCTAGATGATGCTAGATGCCTGGGGTTCAGAAGCATGGTAGAGAGTCGTAGTCTATCATATGTTCTGAAAGGGCTTGGAGGCAATTTGCAGCCGGGTTTGGCACGGTCCCACAGAGATGCAGGAGAGGTTACAGCAGCTAAGGTACCAGAACTCCGATGTGTTCAATGACGTGACAGAGGGTGCGAACAACATCGGTAGAGTCTTCACCTATGGTGCGCAGGAGAAGTATGGCTACAGCGCGGCCCAGGGCTGGGACCCCGTGACCGGCCTGGGCACGCCAAACTACCCGAAGATGCTACAACGCAGCTCGGCTTGCAGCAAGCTTGTGCGTTGACCCTCGTCGGATCCTTGCTTGTAGCTGACAGGGGCGTGGCAGAACGTTGGCCTCTAGTTCCAGTGGCCTCATCGTGCAGAGTTTTGGAGACTACTGTTGACACATGCCTGGCTAGGATTGAAAACGCTCAACCCAATCCCAGAACACAAATAATTGTGCAGACTTTCAGCCGGACTTGTGACCAGCGTGATGGACATAGGTTATCATCGTACCATGTCTTTCCACACCTCCGGCATTCTCGGAACCTCACGAAAGACCCTGTCAGATAAACACAAGGTTCTAAACCTGCACACCCCAAACATACATCTTTGGAGCTTGATAGGGAATGCAGCAGCGGGCCCCTAGACAAAAACTGCCAGAAATTCGGCAAATGAAAACGGTAACACTAGCGGCACGCCTACTCTCTCTATGTCTTTGGCCATATGTTCCGAATCTCCGGCTTGGTTGCTGCATTTGTTTCGTCATGACCTTGTAGTTGTCATCCAGTCCCCCGGCCTTACACTCGAACCCTCACAGAGCACCTGCCACAGTGTCAATGTGCTGTTTGCTGAGGTGCGATCGGCTCGACCCCGAAGCCAACTGCACCTTGACCAAAATCAGGTTCTAGGTGCCGCAAAGAATCAAGCGGTGCAGCGGTTCTTGTTGAATTGAACCTGATCACAAGGAATCGTCTTGCAGCAAGCCAGTGTGAGTGCCAACAAAATTTGACCGCTCAGAACTCATTCCCCACATTTTCTCGCTCCTCCAATTGACATCCCATGATTCCAGATTGCAGTGAAGCCCCTTGAATCTACACTTTGCATGAATGAAGCAAAAACTGCCCGGACTGCCGAATATTTATGCAGAGAACAGTCCGTCGCCGATATCTCGCCGTTTTCTTTCAGAAACCCTAAACCCATATTGCCTTGCGGCGTGGTCTTATGACTTGTGATGGTTGGTTGGTGGGTGGGTGCGACCTGCTGTAGCCTGAGAAAAGACCCGCTACGCAACTGCGAAGCTTTGACTGCCGTGCACGAGCGTCAGTCTGAGAGTCAAAACATTGCCGAAACCCATTGCCAAGCATCGTAGGTGGTCACGACCACCACCGCTCCACCACCGCCCGATCATAAGAGGAGCTGCTCGCAGACTCGCCGTGTAGCGCATGGCATTTCTCTCACTGCGGCTTGAGGGGACTTGCAACAGAATAATGGGAAACTAGGGGATAAGAAGATGGAATATGGCCTGCTCTATAGATGTGTAAACGTGAATAATCAAATATGTGTATTTGTATGCATATATGCATGTGTACATATATATATATATATAAACATATATATATATATATATGTACATACACACACACCTACGCACACGCACATATAGATATATATATATATATATACATACATACATACATATACACTTATTTTTTGTTGTGTATGTTTATATATCCACACATTGCTTAGGCTTGCGTGCGGGTTTTGTAGGGCCTGTAAGGAATCGGGGTAGACGGGCTGTCGGGATTGCTGCAGGAATCCACTCGCCCATCCCTTCGAAGGTCTTGCACCTGCCCGAATACCCCAAACAAGCTTTCCACCTATAGGTAGTAGCTGCTGCTTACCCTCAGCCCCACGCGCCTACAGTAGGCCTTACACCAAGCCTGGAGGACTGGTCCTTGTGCGGCCTGGTGCAAATTTGAGATCCCTTTTGCCATGCAGCCGGAGTGCAAGGGCTGCCCCCGATGCAATGGCCGCCTGTGCGACGACTAGTGTGGCTGGGATGTCAAGGGGCCGAACTCTTCTGCACCCCAAGTTTGACGATATCAAAATATCACAGTTTCCACATTCCAAGGTCTGGTCCACGAGTAGATGGGAAAACGAACATGGAGAAGTCAGCCCCGGCAGAAGCGTAAAGCTCTCGACGATGTTTAGAAGGTTTGGCCAGGTCCCAATGTGGGCCGGGCAAGATGAGTTCACATGTAGCGGGAGTTTTTGAGTGTAGTTAGCCTGGAAGCAGTGCCATGTTATTCTTAAGCCCGAAGTAAAAAGGCTTGAACTCTTTCAGATAGCAACAGTGACAGGAATTCCACGTCTTTAGTCGCGGAGTACTGCTGCCGAAACGGAAATCCAAAGTCAGATTACTACACCAGTCCTGCACTTGCATGACGCGAGGAGCACGGGCCGAATCTTCCAATCCACAGTCCGTCCTTTAGCGGAAGTTGAAGGGCCGCAGGGGACCATTGCAGACCCCACCGGTGGTCACACATTACCTTATCCCTGAGGCTCACGGGAGGCGGCCCTTCAACTTCTTTTGCGGACTTGCCGTTTCAGAGCTTGGCCAGATGCAAAGCGCGAATCTTGAGCTTAGAACCCAGCCGAAGAAGAGACCATGAATGCGCAGAAAGCTTGACTGGGTGCGACAGTACGTCTTGTGAAGTTTGCGACGCAAGATGCCGCCGGAGGCCTTCGCCGGTTCAGGGGCGTGGCCGGTCCTCGATGACCAGGCAGGATTAAAGACTCAAGGCTTCGGTCGTGAGGTCGGCATGTCAACGGTTGCTTGTATGCGGGACTCGCATCCTACCGCTCGCGCGGGCTATGCGATGCGTTCTTCAGGGACCTAGTTTTTTCACCGCGTCTGGCGAGTTTTTCAGGCTTGCATCTTGACTGGTTGCTTTTTGTTTTGTGCTTCTGCTGTGTGGCCCTCAAGCCGTTGTTAGTGTCACTCATTTGCTACCAAGTACAAAGCGGGGCGGACGCTGGCTTCCCAGCTTCTGACACCGTCCCGGGCATACCGCTTTGCGCATGACATGCGCTGCAATCTATAATGTTACCCAAGCTTCGGTCAAACGGTGACTTGGGCTGTCTGCTTGTAAGATGCTCGGGTGGATCAAGCCAACAAGCACGTTTTGAAAGACAGGCGACTTCTGACACGAATGTGCATGGGGTCGACTGGCTTGTTAAGGCTTCTCCCCGACCCCATCTCCCTTCTCCCTCTCGACCGAAGACCTTCAATGTCGCAAGCCCAATGTTTCAGGCCGCGTTGATTCTCTTTTTCATGCACACTGCCCAGTGCACCAATGCTTCATCGGCAATTGTCGTGCACGATCACCGCGGAACAAGCCATCGCTCAGCAGAATCAAGCCTCCAGAAATCGTTGCTGATGTAGTCCTTCAGCACCGGCGCAAAATCGTAAGCGGTAGCTTTCACCGCAAGCTTCCAGGCCCTAGGCCTCAACCACTTTGATGACATTTCGGCAGGCCAGAAGTCTCGAACTCTCCCAGTGAGAGCAGATTCATTTATCGTCGGCGGAGTTTGCCATAGGCACCTGTGCCCCAGCGGACAAGTGGGCTCACCATTGTTCAAAGATTTGCCGCGGCAAGAGGTTACAGTGCGGGTTACTTGGCGGTTCTGGGCTTTGGGTTTCAGACTTGTTTTGGGGTTTTTGGGGTGTGGGGTTGAGGTTTACATGGGGGTGTTTCGATTTGGGCTTGTTAGTAAGCGCTTCGCATCGTCCGCCTCGGCCCGGCCACAAATAAAGAGTGCCGACGAATTGCTCAGCTCTTCTAGGCATCACTGGCGCAGCGGAGGCAGGAAGAGAGGGGGGGAGAGGCGAGGGGAAGGAGGGCTTTTTTGCTTCGACGAAACTTCACGAGCTGACCTAGGTCGGGAGGAGGGGGGTGGGTCCGGTGGGGGATCCTTGTACCACTTCGGCACCGATGTCCACCCTAGAAAATCAGAGAATAGACTTGCAGGGCTCTGTCGAAGGCACAAGTGATTTGTCGATTTCTCATGTACTTGTATTAAAAATTAAGGGGCACCCGCCCATTCATAAGAAATGTGGGGGGGAGGAAGACCTTGTAGAGGTATCAGGGTCATAGACTGGTTGTTGCTCCATGAACATGAGCGCCAAGAACCACTCTTCTATGACCTTTCGACAAGTTTGAGAGCACTAAGTCGTCAATGTATGTCGATGTTGTTCCCGCTTGTTTGTGTATTGACAAGGGTAGCTATGCGTGCTGCTTCTTTTTGTGCTGTTTGAAGGGTTGCCCATTCCTCACCCACCGAGAGCAGTTGCGGGAAGCTCAGCCCAAACTGCAAGCTTTGGGTCAAAATCCAAGCCTTGTCTGAAACACCACTTCCGCAAGGCTCCGAAGGCAGAGGCATGCAATTCCCCGACCGGTGGAATTCGGGAGCCGCTGCCCAAGCCATGTGATGGGCTTGCTTGTGAAACCTGCTACCATCACTTTGGTATACGACATGGAATCATTTCTCGGTGTTGTTTCCCTCTCCTGGCACATCTGGCAAGTTTTGCCCGGGATCATGGGCAGCATTGTGCACAGAGACAGGCCTCAGCACATGATCTTTCGAGCTGGCCTCAGAAGTCTGGCATGTGCACTGCACAGGTGTTATCAGCAGATGTGATACATTGCTAGACGCCCTTTGAAAGAGCAGAGTGCCGCAGTTGACAGGTTCAGCATCCCTCGCAGCCCTGCCGTAGCTGCCATGTGGTCATTGCTTGTGCTTTGCAGTTTGACCCGAGCGTACGGCCAGTGCCAGGAGGCCTCCCAATGCGGCCTGGACAATCAGGCCTTCCTTCAGCTCCGCGAAAGCCCGGGCTCGGCCTCGACGGAGAAAGACATCCGAATCCCGGCCATTTGCCCATCGCGGTTGTGTCCAGATGAGAAGGTGGAGGACCACACCTCTGCCAACCTGACGGTCCTCTTCGCGTTCCACTGCCCGGAAGAAGGGCTCAAGAAGTTACATCAGGACCTGATGGAAATCTCGGATCCCCAGCACGAGCGCTACGGCAAGTGGCTTAGCAAGCAGGAGGCAGACAGCCTGTGCGACCCGGACAAGACCGTCGTGGAGTCATGGCTCCGCGACCACAACTTGACACCGGAGGAGTCGTGGCCCCGACACCTTCGGGTCAAACTCTCGCCAGCCCAGGCCGAGAAGCTCTTCAAGACGAGCATCCACCGTTACAAGCGGGGCGACCGGACAGTGGTGCAGGCCGAAGACTACTTCCTCCCCCACAAGGTGAACGAAGTCATCTCCGCCATCTATGGCTTGAGCGACTTGCCACTGCGCGAGGCATCTTCGCCTCCTCCAGCTCCACCAGCTCCTCCGGCTCGTCCAGCTCAAGCTTCGGAGTCCCCGGATATCGTGCAGCAGCTACAGGAGCTTTTCGCCGTCTTTCCGATTCCGGAACGCATTCAAAATGCAACTGCTGGCTGTTTGAAGTTCATTTCGGGGCTGCTTACTACTCTCAAGGGAGATGTCAAGAATGGGGTAGCCGTCCAGCAGCAGTGGGTCGACGGCAGAGTTCTCGGTGGCATACCAAACCAGCCAACGTTCGACCAGGCTTTCCTAGCCGGCCCCGATGTCGTCAAGCAGATGTATCAGGTACCCAAAAGCACCGCACCGGTGCATGGAACCGAAGCCAACCAGTCAGTTTTGGTTATCAGCAAGGATACTGGTATCGGCACCAACATGTACTCGACTCTGCTGGCCCAGTGGTACCAAGATTTCTATGGCCAGCAAGCCACAAATGTCCAGGTCCTTGGGAAAAGTTTTGATGATATGGAGTCGCCGGACATGGATGTCACGGAGGCGAACGTCGACATTCAGTTGATGGTCGGAGTTGGGCCAAACATCCCGACCTACGCGTACGGAGTCCTAGACTCAGGCGGCGCACTTGCATTTAAAGAGTACTTCTCTAAGCTTGCCCACATGGAAAACTCACCACTGGTGATCTCAGTGAGTCATGCATTACAACCAATTCCATTTGATGAAAAAAATAAAGGGTACCAGCAAATCTTGAACATGGAGACGGACCTGGCGCTTGTTGCAGCGAGAGGTCGCACGGTGGTTGTAGCCTCAGGTGACGACGGCGCAGGGTATGGTTATTTGCCTGCGGAAGGGCCGGACAGTTTCTATGCAAACAGCAACATCACAGGCGAGTACTTTTTCACAGTTCCTGCTGATTCCGTAGAAGATTGCAAAGTTGTCTGTGGCTTAACCCACCGAAACACGCCCCGTTACAATGTCTGTGGAGCTTGGTTGTTCGAGGAAGCAGCTGGGACTTGCACCATGTTCAACATGGGCATGCCCTATGAGAAGACAAAGGGTAGCGGATTTGTTGGAGGCCCAGAGATTGTCGCTGGACCGATGGGACCAACCTGGCCACCTATGAGTCCATGGGTGACTTCCGTGGGCTCTACGGCACCGTGGCGTAATGGCGAGTTTCTGAACCAATGGATGCCAGAAAGGGCAACCAACCACTTTGGCAGTGGAGGGGGCTTCATGTGTCCGTACCCCACGGAGAAAGGGTTAGAAATATTCAAAAAAGCCACAATGGACCAGCGGGCAGCGGTGGAGAACTACCAGAAAGGTTCCAATCATGTCAAGCCATCCCCCAGCGACAAATGCCAGAAAGGAAGGGGTTTTCCGGATGTGGCCTCATTGGGCACGAACCTTGCTGCGGCTACCCGAAAAGCTGGCAAGTTCCGCTGCTGTAACCCCGTATCGGGCACGTCAGCCTCAGCTCCCATCTTTGCTGCGATCATCTCGCACCTCAACGTGGAGCGCTTGGCCCGAGGGATGCCGCCCATGGGCTTCATCAACCAATGGTTGTGCCTGGGGCTAGATGATGCTAGATGCCTGGGGTTCAGAAGCATGGTAGAGAGTCGTAGTCTATCATATGTTCTGAAAGGGCTTGGAGGCAATTTGCAGCCGGGTTTGGCACGGTCCCACAGAGATGCAGGAGAGGTTACAGCAGCTAAGGTACCAGAACTCCGATGTATTCAATGACGTGACAGAGGGTGCGAACAACATCGGTAGAGTCTTCACCTATGGTGCGCAGGAGAAGTATGGCTACAGCGCGGCCCAGGGCTGGGACCCCGTGACCGGCCTGGGCACGCCAAACTACCCGAAGATGCTACAACGCAGCTCGGCTTGCAGCAAGCTTGTGCGTTGACCCTCGTCGGATCCTTGCTTGTAGCTGACAGGGGCGTGGCAGAACGTTGGCCTCTAGTTCCAGTGGCCTCATCGTGCAGAGTTTTGGAGACTACTGTTGACACATGCCTGGCTAGGATTGAAAACGCTCAACCCAATCCCAGAACACAAATAATTGTGCAGACTTTCAGCCGGACTTGTGACCAGCGTGATGGACATAGGTTATGTCCAGACTTGAATGGCAACGGTCAACACGGGAAACTTCTTGGTCTGGGAGGCTTTCCTATGGACGTTGCAGGTGGGTAGTTTCCGGTTTCAAGGGAATTGGGCTGCAGGAGGCCTATAGTAACCTTCTGTGAGGGCGCGCGCCTGGCAACTCCAGGCACCGGCAGGTGACCAAAGGTTGCCAGGAGAAGCATGAGCGAAGGGTGACCAGCGACGTCTTGTCCAGATGCGTTACATGCGACGGGTCATCCCTAGCTTCTCAGGGCGGGTTGTCCCATAATTGCCGATGTCCATACTTCCTCTAACCCTTGGATTAAAGCACGGTCGCGGGATAACTTAAAATCATCAACATTGTAGCATCGTACCATGTCTTTCCACACCTCCGGCATTCTCGGAACCTCACGAAAGACCCTGTCAGATAAACACAAGGTTCTAAACCTGCACACCCCAAACATACATCTTTGGAGCTTGATAGGGAATGCAGCAGCGGGCCCCTAGACAAAAACTGCCAGAAATTCGGCAAATGAAAACGGTAACACTAGCGGCACGCCTACTCTCTCTATGTCTTTGGCCATCGGGATGTTGATGTTCCGAATCTCCGGCTTGGTTGCTGCATTTGTTTCGTCATGACCTTGTAGTTGTCATCCAGTCCCCCGGCCTTACACTCGAACCCTCACAGAGCACCTGCCGCAGTGTCAATGTGCTGTTTGCTGAGGTGCGATCGGCTCGACCCCGAAGCCAACTGCACCTTGACCAAAATCAGGTTCTAGATGGCGCATAAAACTAAGCTTTAGGGCTTCAGGCGTAGAGGGTTTTTTTCGCCTTGCTTCTATCGCAAGCAATAGTTCTGCAGCAGGCCAACCTGGGCGCCAAGTTTATCTGATCGCTGAGAAGTCATTCGCCGCGCTTTCTCGCTCCTCCAGTTGCATCCCATGTTTACAGATTGCAGTGAAGCCGCTTGAATCTCCATTCCGACATATGAAGTAAAAACACTTTCCAGACTGCCGAATATCTATGCACAGAACAGTCCGTCTCCGATTGCATGAATCTTTCCGTCTTCTTTCGGAAACCCCAAACCCATTGCCTTGCGGCGTGGTCCTCTGACTGGTGATGGTTGGTTGGTGGATGGGTGCGACCTGCTGTAGCCTGAGAAAAGACCCGCTACTCTACTGCGAAGCCTTGACTGCCGCGCACGAGCGTCAGTCTGAGAGTCGAAACATTGCCGAAACCCATTGCCAAGCATCGTAGGTGGTCACGACTACCACCTCTCCACCACCGCCGGATCACAAGAGGAGCTGCTCGCAGACTCGCTGTGGAGTGCATTGGCATGGTATGTCTCTTACTGCCGCTTGAGGGGACTTGCAACAGAATAAGGATACTACTGTAACGGGAGTCTAGGGGACAAGAAGATGGGATATGGCCTGCTCTTTAGATGTGCAAACGTCAATAATTAGTCAAATATGCATGGTTGTATGCACAATATATATGTATATATATATATATATATATACATACGTGTGGGTGTGTGTGTGTGTGTGCGTGTGGGCGTCTGCGTGTGGGCGTCTGCGTGTGGGCGTCTGCGTGTGGGCGTCTGCGTGTGGGCGTCTGCGTGTGGGCGTCTGCGTGTGGGCGTGCGCGTGCGCGTGTGTGTGTGTGTGTGTGTGTGTGCGTGTGTGTGTGTGTGTGTGTGTGTGTGTGTGTGTGTGTGTGTGTGTGTGTGGGCGTGCGCGTGTGGGTGTGCGCGCTGTGTGTGTGTGTGTGTGTGTGTGTGTGTGTGTGTGTGTGTGTGTGTGTGTGTGTGTGTGTGTGTGTGTGTGTGTGTGTGTGTGTGTGTGTGTGTGTGTGTGTGTGTGTGTGTGTGTGTGTGTGTGTGTGTGTGTGTGTGTGTGTGTGTGTGTGTGTGTGTGTGTGTGTGTGTGTGTGTGTGTGTGTGTGTGTGTGTGTGTGTGTGTGTGTGTGTGTGTTGTGTGTGTGTGTGTGTGTGTGTGTGTGTGTGTGTGTGTGTGTGTGTTGTGTGTGTGTGTGGGGAACCCAATCTACCACGGGACAGTTCAGTGAGAATTGCAAATTGAAACTAAGAGAAGTGATCGTGCAGGGGGACAGTGGACATTCTGGAAGGCACTGTCCAACGAAGACCTTTCCAGTTTGTCGTGAAATGGATTGAGGACGCTCAATCCACGTACCTGCCAGAGTGTTTGTGACATCATTCGCAATATAAGCTGTGCAATGCTTCATCTTTGACATATTCGCTGTGCAATGCTTCAGGATCCTTGGCTTTTTCTTCTTTAGTAAAACATCAGCAAGGTAACCAGAGCCTATTGAAGCCCCACCGGCAAAGTTTTCTTTGAAGTTTCTCATCGGAGTCATTGAACTCACTGATGAGTCGGAATTGACCACGAGTGAACATGCCACCAGCAAGACTGGGTGTTCAAGTGTGAATCGGGCATGGCCTTATCCGTCACGGCGCCATTACCGCTGCTCTCGAGGCAGTATCCCTTGAAACAGTGCCCCGAGTGGGACGCGTGACCCTTGGCTAGGTTCCTAAGAGACCCCAAACACCAACAGACTGGAAAGCAAATGTCTTGAATCCGGAAAGCACATGCTGATCAAGAGGACCAGCGCAATCAGTTTGAAATCCAAATTGTCTTGAAGTCTGCTTGAAGTGACATGCATGCATGACTTTGATTAGGTTAAGCTTAATTGCCGTGTAAAGTTGCTAGTGCATGACCCTTGTCTTTAAGCATTATTTTTGTTTTTGTTGTTTTTTCTTCTTCTAGTTCGTGGTAAATTTGTTACCAATAAGTTGTCCTTAGCAGCTGCGTCCCACCGCCATGGAGATTAACATACAGATCAAGAATGCGCAGCCCGAAGACTTGCTGCAGGCGTTTGCAGCACTGAGTGGAGGAGCAGCATCCTCAACGACAGCGGCATCTCCAACTGCAACGTATATCTCAGACCAAGGGAGACCGCCATTGAAAAGAATTCGCAAAGAAGCCCGCACCACGACGGCTGCCACAAGGAGATCCCCGAGCTTATTATTCAGTCAAGAAGAGCTCCAGGCATTGCAGGCGGCGAACCCACAGGGAACAACGCAAGACTCCACCGCCGAGGATACCGAGCAGAGTGCAGTTGGCTCTGGTGCAAAGGCAAAGCGAAAAGCTCAGCCATTCTCGGCGTTCCGCAAGCACGAGGGACGCACTATGTCCCCTCGGCCCTACTTCCAAAGGAGTGACCAACTTGGAGCAGGAGAAGCTCCGCCTACGCCGAGACCTTCATCTTCGTCGGGATTGCCCGCGCTACCACCAGTACCACTACAAACAACGGCAGGTACAAGACCAGCCAGACCTCTGCTGGTGAGAAAGAGAACCATGGACTCCAGATCCCCAAGATGCAATCCCTCACGAAAGAGCCCCAGCGATTCAAGGACCACCAGACCGCGGGCAGTACTAAGATCCAGATCGCACACCCCCAAGACAAGATCCAGATCCCGCGCTCCCAGGACAACATCCAGATCTCGCGCTCCCAGGACAACATCCAGATCTCACTCCCCCAGGACAACTCAGCGATCCAGGGCATCGGGCCTCAGTAACACAGGCACTTCGACAGCACCAAAGACACATTCGCAGCGACCCAAGATCGACCCCAAGCTATATGAGACTCCGCGGATGCCTTCAACGATTACATTCCACAAGAACCTCAAGCAATTCAGGGTCAATTGGAAGGACATTGAGATTCCGCAGTTTCCCATACATGACTCCACCAAGCAGTACGTGGATGCACTTTGTGCTGCAGCGGAATTCAGGATCAACCACGGGGTTCTTTTGGAGCATGACCTCACGTGGGACAGAGGAGGCGACCCAACTCCAGAGACAATGAGGAGATTCTACTTCTTGCAATCCTCAGATCTTACTCTGCAAGACCCTCCTCTACCAACTCGGCAAGAAAAGATCCTGTTTTGGTCGCATGCAACAGATGTGGGAGCTTTATTCAATATGTTGAAGGAGCGAAATATGCGTCCGATGAACGCGCATGGAGTGGCAGCCTTTGGATGCAACATCTTCTATGCGCTTGGCCACGAGATGTCCGGATCTGACATCGACGAACACAACCTGACCAGGGTGCTCTTCAACACCACCCGACGCGCCAAGAACCTGGCAGGCATCGTCGTGGGAGGCCGTGCATGGGGATCCCTTCGCAAGCATCTTGGCGGATCCTATGAAACAGCTCGGGCAGCCACTGAAGAGGACGAGGTGCTCAAGGATGCGAATGCAAAAGCTTATTGCGTATCTCGCAACAGATATTGCTTTACATGCATCGCGTTCGAGCAGCTGATGACGCCACCTTCAACAGCTAACACCCTCATCTCCCAGTACCAGAAAGCTGCAGGCATAGCTCCTCAAGGAAGAGCCAGACTTTCGCTCATCTAGCAGCGCATCCACGGCAGCACCACGAAAGCTCTTCCTGGACATCACCTTCGGCAAAGGCCTGCAAATCTTCCACTAGCTTAGTGCCGGCAACGAATGCGACGCCGCAAACCGCCTTCTTCGCAGCAAAAGATACACATGCTTTTTATGCCTCTTATGTCGCTGCAAAGTTTTTGTTTGTTGGAGTGCCCTAAATTTCCTTTGCCTTCAGTGTTCAGACCGTGCCCCCTAATCGCTAGATACCTTCATACGCAATGGCGAATGCATGGACTGGGTATTGGCCTCAGGGAACATCGAATATGCCATGGTGGGCGTCAGGCAGTGGGAGCGCGTCGAGCACACCGACTCCGGCACCTTTGCCAACGCCAACAAC